TTCCAAGAGCTAGTCAAACGTTTTTCAGGACACGAAAGCGATATCCTATGTCTGAAAACGTAATTTTCAATGCAAAGAAAGAGTCCGCTTGCTGCTGCGTGTTGTAGCTAGTTCATTCGCACTGAATCTCCGCGCAACCTTCTCTGCACCCCTTTCCTGCTCCTCTCCCCGCTGCCCGATCCGCTCTTCCCCCCTGCTCCTCACTTCTCGTCCGCGCACGAAATGTCCGCACACCCGCTCCCCCGCTCCTCACTTCTCCGTCTTGCCTAACCAACACTGTAGTTAGTTGTTTACAAGTCATGTGCAGCGCACCGGCTGTAAACAAACCTGTTTCTGGCGTAAGGAGGAGGCGGGAGGAGGCGTTTCTACGTAGGGAGCTGTAGGGGAGGGGGGGTGGTTTCACGCATGCGCAACATTTGAAAAAGGACAAACAGTCGCTGGATTTCTCGTTCCTTGGAAAATCCTCTATACAACCTTTAATGACATCACAAGGCGGAACAGAGCATTTTGAGCTTCAGAGATGAACACAGGCTGTAATAAAGCCACGTGTGAATGAAACAAAACTCAACTTCGGGTACGTTTTTGGCAAAGCAGCAACATTCTAACATGATTTAAACGTCGCATGAGTCTATTTCGCGTAATCTCGCACCTTTAATAACAATAATAACAAAATACCAAGGTGTTCTGAAATATGCAGATTAGCGTCTCTCCATTGTAAAGGTCTTTGTCAAAGTAGTGTTTTCTTTGATGAGACTGTTATCGCGCGTGTCAGGTTTGATTTATGTCTTCTCTCACAAAGGAAATTACTGCTTTTATCCACTGGCTCTTGTTTTGGGACAATTTCCTCGGCTAAAACTGTGACACTTAAGAAGACCCAAATGAGGAGGCTGTCTGCTGGGCTCTCAATAAGTCAATGGTGTAGCGGCCAATTCCGAACAATTTGCAAAAGATGTAATTTTCAGAAACTCGGGCTATTTCCATCGCAAGAATAGTTATCAAGTCGGAGCAAAGAAGCAGAAGATTGAAATTACCAGTTATATCAAATATTCATGACATGTCAGATATGTCATAAAGTTATTTTGAGAACTTTAGTTAGACTTCAACTTGCGAAAAACAGCTTAACAGGTTTTAATGTTGGAAATGGGATTGCGCTAATGTATCCCCAGGAAATGTGTTATCTAAAAATACAGTATTGGAGTATTTTTTTTTTTTTTTAAGATAGTTCTTCATTTTGCTCAGGGGCTGTAGACTATATGTGTTTTTGCAGGAGATTCCTAGAGTGCAAAATCACCAATCACATTTCCATTTTCAGTTCCATTTGTTTTCATTGCTGTTGTCAAAGAATATTTTTTTGGTCCTTCAACTTCCTGAGTGAGAAAACTGGGGAAAAGTTTATAATGATCCTAACCTTAAAGGAACTGTATGTGAAGATATAACTTTTAAATTACATAAACTTGAACTATCTGTGTCCCCAGAGAGAAGGTAGTTGGTCATATCAAATATATCTTTTACGGATAACATATATTTAGTACCAACTAGGGATGGGCATGATTAGTCAACTAATCAATAATTGATCATTAAGAATTTCGTCAATCACGTTCATTTTTAATCAACTGAATGTAGGTTGGTGTGCGTAGTGTAGCGTAAATCAAGCTCATAACAAATCAAACTTTATTTATAAAGCGCTTTTCATACAAAAATGTAACACAAAGTGCTTTACAGTGATTAAAAACAATATTTCCCATATTTCCATTCGCCTACCAACTTACCAACCCCCACAGCTGCCCGACTCCACACTACCAGACAACATAAACACACATGCACACGCGCACACACACATAATGACATAAATACATAAAACCGCACATAGTAGAATGTGAGGCTGAATACAGGCGAACCAGTTGAGAAAGCACCATCAGAGGAGCCGTCTACACCAGGAGCAGAGAGACGTCCACCACCACCAGGAACCACCACAGGGTCCAGGAGAGAGATGAAGCCCAAAGCACCAACCCTCCACAAGGAGCCCACAGGACAGACCCCGGCAGCCACAGCCGACCTCCGCTTGTGATGCAGAGGGCTCACTGGAACACTGGAAATCCTAAAAAATATGCCTAAAATAAATAAATATAATAAAATAAATACTATAGAAACAGGTAAAAGTATAAAATTTCATTCAAAAGCTAAGCTAAAAAGGTGGGCCTTGACAAGCTGTGTCTGACAGCGCAAACACTGGAGTTTCAGGCTTCACTGTCCCACATTTTGGCTCTGGCAGACCTATTTGGAGATCATTGTACCTCTCAATGAGTGTGTTTACATGCACATCAGTGTACTGGGTATGATCAAGTTTTTTTTTTTGAGTATCCCGGTTTCATCATGGTGCATGTGTACGTGGTATCCCGGTTACTGCAACATAAAGTTGAGTGCACATGCGTTCAAAAGACAAACACTTTTCAGTCTTTTCGTCACAACAGTAGCCAAAATAAAGTGACCAACATAAATAAATTGAGTGAAATGATGTTAAATAAAGAGCTGCACTAAACCTGCACATGTATGATCTCTAAAAACATGAACTATCTCCAACGCCTTTGAGTGTCCTTTAGTCCAACAGAAGCTGAACTGCATCAACGTACAAGGAGCAAGCAGTTTTTTTCAGCTGCTTATAGTTTATGCAAATTAGCTGTGCGGTTTTAAATTTGTTTCTGTAAAACATAAATGTGTCAAAGCTGCATTAAACACATTATAATCTCAAATGGGTTGATGTGGCTCTATAGTGGTTATGGTTTATATGTTGTAAAGTTGAGTTTATTTATGCAGATTAGTAATAGAAATAATAATAATGATCCAAAATCGATCGTTTATTCTTCTGACGATTGATTAATAAAATTTAATCAAATGCCCATCCCTAGTAACCAACTATGACGTGTTTGGGCTCACTCGGGAAGTTCAAGGACCAAACGATATTCTTTGACAACAGCAATGAAAACAAATGAACAGTTCTGTTAATAAAGGATACTCAAACTCTGAGACACCACTGCTCTGTCTGGAGGTTAAATATCTGGCAACCCAGGGTCAGTTGTGATTATAATGCCTTTTTTATCTGTAATAGTGCAGACTACACACTGTTCCTCTAATAACGAACAATTTTTTGTGTGAGACAGACTTGATATTAATCCTCCAAGCCTGATTACAGTTGTGGAACACAGTCTTACTTCTCATAAATACAAAATACATTTAAATGATTCATATGAAACAAGAGGAGCTGCCAAATTTGACATGGAGTTTTGATCAACTAAGAGCTCAACACCGCTGCTTTGCATTATTGCCCCTGCAGTCCTGGAGGAAGTATTTTATCATTAAAGGCGCTCTATCCAAGTTTTACCTTCTAGTTCATTTTAAACCGTCAAGTTATGCTTCACTTACCTTATGCATTCAGAGCATCCTAATTATTCAAAGAGCTTCTAAGCGTTTTTCACAGCTTTCAGAGACCAGAGCGGAGTCACAGTAATGTTTACAACAACTTGCATGCTAACAACGCTTTTCTTGATTCTTTGACAATAAACATTACATAATTAGATGCCGACAGCACAGACTTCCGTACTGAGACAAGACAAAAGTAAGAGGGGTTTTTTCAATTCAGTTTCTGTTTGCATTCGAAACCCACAAATTAATAACAACAATACAGTTCATAGAGTTTATAGTAATTTTGCTTAGACTTTTTGCTTAATTACAAGTCCCTAAATTTCATGTTTAGTGACATATGCTTCACCTTTCAAGATCCGATAAATGCTCAATCTACTGTCGAATGATTTCACAGACACGAGCTATACCTATCTTTTTATTTACCAAAAAAATCCAGGTGAGATTTGAAACTAGTAAAGAAACTACTAAAACTTGTACAAAAACTAGATACACATTTGAGCAGGTATTGATAGTAAAAAAGTCATATTTACAGGACAGAAATGGACCTTTGAAATGCTTTGAAATGATCTTGAGAGCCGGATCAGAAGAGGCTTCATACCCCCGTGGACCCCTATCGATTGAGGGATTACACAGATATAAGACCACATTAAAATAAAAGAAAGTACTACAATTTCAATTTGGAAATCACGAATGATATCATATATAAGAAAGTGTTTTTTATTATCATGATGTCAGAACCAGTATTGAGTGTGTTCCTTAGTATTGAAAACAAGTTGTAAACACTAGTTTCAAAGCATATTCAGTTTAAAGGGAGAATCCAAAATTTTGGTCATAGGACCTTATTTGCTAGTGAGCCAGAGTGTTGGAGACGTGTGGAGACACTTTTTTAAATATTCCATCCAGTCCTTGTATTTGTGGAGGTCGCTGGTGCTAGACTAGCGCATGTCAATGGCCATAGTTATCCTGCCACTAAAAACAGTCTTACCCACTCCACAAAACACCAAAAGCAAAACTATTATTACGCCAGACTGTCGATGTGAATGTCTGTGTTGATAGAATTATGTTTGAAATAAATCGAACATTGCATCGCATGAATCGTCGCATGTTGAGGGACTATTTTCTCATATATCAGTCCGCCGCTGCTGAGCTTTCTATCAGGAAGTACAACTCGCTGCCGCTGCTCAGACATAAATCCTTTAAATGTAAGGTTGGTTTTACTTTTAATTATTCTGTCAACACAGACATTTACATCGACAATCTGGCATAATAATAGATTTGCTTCGGGTGTTTTGTGGAGTGGGTAAGACTGTTTTTAGTTACAGGATAACTATGGCCATTGACATGCACTAGCCTAGCACCAGTGACCTCTGCAAATACAAGGACTGGATGGAATATTTAAAAAAGTGTCTCCACACGTCTCCAACACTCTGGCTCACTCGGAAATAAGGCCTTGTGTCCAAAATTTCGAACTGTCCCTTTAAATTGTGAGTCTTTTTAGTCAGGCTTTTTAGAAAAAATAGTCCCTCTTGAAAAGCGGTTCACTCACATTGCTGTATTAACCCTGCGTTGTCTTCCTGCAGGAGAGCATGCCCAGTTACGTCTGCGGATCGGCTCCCTCGCCAGCGGGATCTACCAGGTTCCCATCATCATCACGGACTCTGGAAACCTGCCCATGTCCAACACGTCCTACCTGCGGGTGAAGGTGTGCCAGTGCGATCACCATGGCGACTGCGTGGACATGGAGAGGATCATCGCCGCGGGGCTGGGGACCGGCGCCATCATCGCCATCCTCATCTGCATCATCATTCTGCTGGGTGAGTCCGGGTTGGTGTGGTTAGAATGAATTTAGAAATCTGGGAATAACATCGTGAATGTATCATGGATGGTAATTGCTCTTTGATTTTTCCCAGACTTTTCAAAAAAATGTAATCAGATTTTTACTGAGTTACTGATTTACACATTCGAAAAAAACAGACCTAGTTAATTTTAAATGGTTTGCATTGGTCCATAGTTGTTCCTCGCTTATTTTATGTCAGGGGTCTCCAACCTTTTTCCTTCAGTGAGCTACCGTTACAAAACAAAAATGCCAGAGAGCTACTAGTTTTAGCCGTCGCAAGAAATTTTGTATAAAAAAGAGCCTCAGCAAGCCTTAAATGAGGTACAGTTAGATTAGGGTGACCAGACGTCCCTATTTACCCTGGACAATCCCAGTTTTGAGCCTTGTGTCCCCTGTCCCAGCAGATTTATCCAAAACCAGTGATTTGTCCGAGTTTTATACAAGAAATGTCACTGGTGTCTCTATTTTTGACTAATCTGATCCCTGCTAACAGTAAAGAGAGGCATAAATTGTCATTTGTTTAAGTGAAATACAGAAAAGCTGCTGAAAAATGACCAAAACACAAAGAAAATGTAACTATACTGACTCATGTTAGTCATGAATGGGCCGAGTGCAGAAAAGTTTTCCTTAATTACTCACTCGATTCACAGTTTTATTATTACCAACCACAACAAATCGAAGGTGTCCCAGTTTTTTTTTTTTTTTTTTTTTGAAAATCTGATCACCCTATGTTAGATACCTATAAAACATGAACCATTATCAAATTTTACTTATTCAACATAATATGTATAATTCAAAAATTCCTTGGAGAGCTACTTGGAAGGGGTGGAGAGCTACTGGTGGCTCCTGAGCTACAGGTTGAAGACTCCTGCTTTATGTATTCACCATGATGAGTTTATAAGCACATTTCACAACCTTCAGAGACAAGTGTGAAGTTTTGCTCATGCTCTATCATGCTAATGCTCTCTTCCTGACTACCAGGTTATTGTAATGGTTTAGAATTTCATGAAGACAGCATACAGCAGATTTATTTTGACCTGAAGAGCTGCTTATATTATACTTCTGTAGTGGGGCAAGACAAATTTTACAAATATGTGTGTAAAATGTCCATAACACTTTTGTTTTCAGTCCAAAAAACTAAAAAAAAATTTGTAATAGCTTTCAGTTTTTTGTTCTTTTATTTAATAGTCCCAGTGGTCATTAGCAACAATCGAGCTGATTTGCTTTGAAACATTTAATACTATTTTCTTCTGGAAAGTCTTTGGGAAAAATGAACAAGGAATTTAATTGTGGAACCAAGTGGTGGGTGGTCAGTGTTGAGCTACGGTGGTCGTTTAATGAGAAAATATTTCCCTCCCCAAGCACTATCTTAGTTAAATCACTGTCTTGTTTTCATGATTTATTTCAAATATCAAAGTGGATCAGAGGAACATGCTGTCAATGTTAAAGTAGATAGATTGTGTAAAATTGACTTTTGGAGGTTTTAACCATGAATCATGAATAAGTCAAAGCGGTATTGGAGTGACTCATGTGTTTAACGGCGCAATTTTTAGCACAAATGTTCTAAAAATCAATAGTACACGGCCTAATGTCACTATAAACGTCATCACAACAAGGTGCTGAAGTTGTCGTGGTGACATTTATAGGGACATTAAATAAGGGAAAAAATATCAGAAAATGCCTAATACGTCTTGCTTAAGGTGTGGTACCGTATAAATTAACACTGCTAGAGAATATAGAACGTTAAAACCATACTTTACAATATTCTAGTTAGTTTATGCCATTTTGTGGAAAATTACAGTCAAAGGAGCAGCAGCAGAGTCAAGTCTGTGGAGATGCAAGCCCACTCAGAATAAAGACACAGGTTTTTCTATGTTTTCCAGTGCAATAAACTGTGACAAATTGAAAAAAAAAAAAAACATTGGGATGCACCAATCCAGCTTTTCAGTTCTGATACCGATATAGACACTATGGCTTTTAGTATCTGCCAAGATTGAAAATAGCATTTATTTCTTTAAAACAAAATTAAAATAAGGCAAAACTGATCCAAATGTGTTATGTAGCTATTTTTTATCCCTCATGTAACCACAGAAAAATATTTTATTAAATACAAATTCAAACATTATTACACCTTTTGGGCTGGAATACGACCTGGAAATACTCTTAAAACATCGATTTATACATCCAACCAGGATATCAGCTGAACCGATATTTGAAAGCTGATATCCAATCCGGCAAAAGTTACATACTGTGACTTTACCCAGCTACAACAACATTACCGCACTTCAAATTCTTTATTCTTTAATTTTTGCAAAAATCGACAGTGCTCCTTATGTATTAATACAGGTTGTGCTTACTGACCTCAAACCAATTTTATGCGGTACACGGTGCTCAAAAATTTGTCGAAATGTTTTAGGATGACTTTGGTAAACTACAAAGGTGCACCACTTGATGGCGTGTCGGAGCATTAAAGCTACTGTAGTCAGGAGCGTCGCAGAGTCGTGTCCTTTAGTCTGACGGAAGCTGACAGCATCAGCGTGATAGGAGCAAGCTTTTTTCAGTGCTTATAGTTTATGCAAATGAGCTTAAATTATTCACCCGCATTCACATTCATAATAAACATTCACCAAGACAGGGAGGCGATGCCGAGCGAATTACGCCACGATCTGCCAATGGATCGTGGACACCTGGGCTAAGGGATCAATCTCAAGTGTCGTCTGTTTATTTTGCTGAATGCGCCTTATAATCCGGAGCACCTTATGTATGAAAATAGACAAGAGAATTCAACATTATTGATATTGAGCCTTATAATCCGGTGCACCTTATAGTCTGAAAAATACGGTAGTATGTAGCTCCATAGCAGCAGCCCTACCATTTAACAAACAGGCTATGGACCACTGTGGAAAAGAGTATAAAGTGACCGTATTTCCATATTAAAACACCTACCCCTGTACTAAACATACTCTTGTGTAGGAGAGCTTTGTCTTTTGTTTCAGGGACAAACGGACACACACACACAGAGATTGTATCACATTGGATTTGCTTTGTAAATAGACTCGCCGCTCTCATTTGCCTGTGCAGCCTCCAGTGTCCGTCATGGCTTTGTTTGGTGAGGCAGAGGTTTGCCGTGGCTCCACTCCCAGCCTTTAATCCTCTGTGTCAAAGTCAATGGGGCACTTTTTGTGAGTTATGGCCTTGTTAACCTGCAACACTCCAGCAGCCCCAGCCTCCGCTACTGCACTATCAACACAATGTAGCACGGATCACGGGGCACAGCTAACGGCTAATGGCCAGCTAATGGTGGACAAGGGTGAAGAGAACGAGCTGCGCTTTTGGGAGGAAGAGTCGCTTCTTTGGAGAATAGAGTCGCACTGGTGTTTTCAGCAGTTCCGTCCATGTTTTATTGATGTGTTTATTGTTATTTGCGAAAACGAAATATTACATGGAAATGAAACTATAAAAATAACTGCGAAATGATCTTTATGACTAGAACGATAAAACTGTACATTATTTCGAATTCTGACCATGGACAGACCAAGCTCCCGACAAAACAGTGTCTTTATTTTATTTTATTAAGTCCAGTGAAAAATTGTCACTAATACTGTTTTGATCCTCTTGATTAGACTAAAACTTAACATTATTTGACTAACTCTTTTACTTGGCCAGCCGAGACCCATGTTTTGTCAAAGCTTTACAAAGACGTGTGGATCTGGAAGCGGTATCCTGTCTCCTTGATTTCAGAGGGTGTGATTGACAGGCGGATTAACCAATCACAGAGACACATGCTCCGCTCATGTCAAAACAAACAAGGCGGATTAGGAGTAAAAAACGGGGGAAAACTAACACAGAGGAGTGAAAAACAGTGCAAATTTCTGCAGAATCAAAAATCAAAACACCAAACTCTTACTTTTCTCAGGTAAAAGAAGTTATATATTTTGTGCTAAATGATGCAAGAATTTTCGAGAGATGTCTCCTGTATTTGAGAGACACGTGATAAAAATTTGCAGCTGAGGTTGGACAGCCTCAAGTTACGATGGAGGTTTTTCATGCTCTGCGGTTTGATTCCTGACCCTTCTGGATTCAAACAAAGCTTAGAATGGACTGGACTGGCTGGTCAAACAACAAACTCTTGACTATACTAGCTCTATAAAATTTGAATGGTAGTAATTCGAATGTAGATTATGGTATCATTTGGACATAAAAAATATGATAACCAAAATAAGAATGAATAAAATTTGACCTATTTATTTACTGTATTTTTTCGGACTATAAATTGCTCTGGAGTATAAGTCGCACCAGCTAAAAAATGCATAATGAAGAAGAAAAAAACACATAAGTCGCACTTTTTGGGGGAAATTAATTTTATAAAATCAGAGACCAGGAACCGACATTTCACCTTGAAAGGCAAGTTCTAGTAATAACAATAGGATAGAGAAGAAAAGGCTGTTAACGTCACATATGAACAGTTCTTCAGATAAACTATAGCATAAACAACAGAACAGAACAAGTTTAACAAACTCTCCATCTCACTCTAAATCAGTAAATCCTAAATTCTTCATCCTCTGTGTCACTCAGCATCAGTTCATTAGATTTATTCCGGCCTTTCTGAATCCCGACAGGATGGTCACTCACTCCAAACTTTTTTTCTGCAGCTCAATTACCTTTTTTGGCTGCATATTTCACTACTTACAGCTTGTAATATGTAAAATATGATTTTGTTTTGGGGAGTATTTGTGTTCAGTCTTCTCAGTCGTCTTTATAAGTTTGTTTAAATGTAAAATTTTCAGTGGTACAGAAGTAATGGTGTGATCGACTGACATGATACAGACAGAACAGAGGCTCTTTCTGCAGGAGACATGCGCAGTAGAGCCAAGTGACAGTGGTACAAGAGTAATAGAAGCAGCAGATACTGGCACACAAGCCTAGAGCACCCTCTGGTGGCTGTCAGTGTGAAAATTTTAAAATATAAGTCACACT